AGAAGCTATTTCTAGACAAGTGCTGTCGGGCAGGCACCACTCCCCTCCTCTGGACTGGGTGGAGTGGCTCATCCTCCCTGGAGGACAGCTTGTCCAGAGATGCCTGAGTGGTCCTAGGCACATCCCCCCCCAGGCCCGTTTTCATGACTGAACAATGGAGGGGAGGGGTAAAAACCCAGCTCCCTGGCCACAAGATGGACCAAACCCCATGGCACAACTCACATCCCACATCACTCCATGGGAGCAGACAGTGCGTCAAGTTCAGCTGAACCCTCATCTTTGCTTAGTTGCTTCCCGTGTCCTGTTCTACATGCCAGTGCCCTTCCCTTCTCCTTCAATCACTCCCTTGGTAAATCACATGCTCAAGAATTCCACCTCAGGCTCTGTTGCTCAGGAACCCGTCCTCAGACAGGTGGTGTCGAACCCTCTATAGTCACCTCTGAGTGATGTAATTAAAGATGTGAATAATGTCAATCTTAAAGTATTTTCCTGACAAACTTAAAAAAAATTTTCATACTCAAAAAAGCTTCTTTTTTTGTAATTTTAATTTATTTTTGGCTGCTTTGGGTCTTCGTTGCTGCGCTCAGGCTTTCTCTAGTTGCGGCCAGAGGGGACTACCCTTCGTTGCGGTGCGCAGGCTTCTCATTGCGGTGGCTTCTCTTGTTGTGGAGCATGAAGCTGTAGGCATGCGGGCTCAGTAGTTGTGGTGCACGGGCTTAGTTGCTCCGCGGCATCTGGGATCTTCCAGACCAGGGATCGAACCCGTGTCCCCTGCATTGGCAGGTGGATTCTTAACCACTGAGCCACCAGGGAAGTCCCAAAGCTTCATTTTTTAAATTTAGCTTTCTGACTCCATGCTTGTGCTTTCAACACTTCCACAACGATTTTCCGCTCCTCAATGAGGAAAGCGTGCTTGATCCTGTCACGGACACATTTAGCACACATGGAACCAACACAGGCCCGGCTGACATGTTTTTTTGTTTTAGACAACCTCATAAGAACTTTAGGTCTCATGGCACGAACTCCTCGAAGTCAGCCTGGGCACACCACATGCGAATTTTGGTGCTTTCTCAACCTTCTTGGTATAAAGGTAAACAATTCTGTTACCAGGGGTTCGAGACAGCCTGGTTTTGTTAGAGGCTGTATCATGGAACAGCCTATGACGGCATGTCAAATGCTGGATCATCCTGAATGCCTCTAGATACCATCCCTGGAAGAGGAAGAAGCCTGACAAACTTTTAATTTACCTTCTTTCATCAAATAAACATCAGAAAGAATTAAGTAATATATCTCAAGACTTGGGAACTGAGACAATGAAAACTGGAAGGCCATTGGACCTTATGGAGAACTTGCGGTGCTACAGCCGCACAGTCTGGAAACTATGAAGCCTGTTCATTTTAACGGAAATGGTAAAATCTTTGGAAAAGGAAACATTTTAGGGAGTTTTATGCTTAATTAGGGATATTCTAACAGAAATTTTAATACTTTTATTTATTTATATTTTTAAATTAAAGTATAATTGTCTTGTAATATTATATTCTATAAGTGAGATAATATGGTATTTGTCTTTCTCTGTCTGACTTATTTCACTTAGCATAATACCCTCTAGGTCCATCCAGTTTGTCGCAAACAGCAGGATTTCATTCTTTTTTATGGCCAAGTAATATTCCATTGTGTATATACATCACATCTTCTTTACCCATTCAACTGTCTATGGACGGGTTAGGTTGTTTCTGTAGCTTGGTTGTTGTAATAATGCTGCAATGAATATAAGGGTGCCTATATCTTTTTGAATTACTGTTTTGTTTTCTTCGGAAAAATACCCAGAAGTGGAATTGCTGAATTGTATGACAGTTCTATTTTTAGTTTTTTGAGGACTCTCCATACTGTTTCCCATAGTGGCTGCAGCAATTTACATTCTCACCAACAGTACATGAGGGTTCCCTTTTCTCCACATCCTTGCCAACACTTGTTATTTGTTGTCCTTTTGATGATGGCCATTCTGACAGGTGTAAGGAGATATCTTATTGTGGTTTTGATTTTCATTTCCCTGATGATTAGTGAGGTTGAACATCTTTTCATGTGGAATTTTTAAAATTATAAATCTATAGTTTTATTATCATGTGGAGATTTTAATACTTTCAGATTTACAAGGTTAGTTTGATAAATGAAAGAGAAGTGGAAGATGCTATAACAATGAAGAAATATGGCATGACTTCTTGTAACAAAACAAAATAAAGTATCAATTCCAAGAGAAAATATAATACTTTAAAATAAATTATTATATAAAAATACATTTATTATTTGAGGGCAAAAGTGAAAATAAATGAATTCTAAAGTCATTTAAATTTATAGAATCCTGACACTACTAAATGGTATTTGTAAAGTTCTGTGGAAGGATAAGTGAAATTAAACCAATGGATTAAATGATTTTTTGTGATTTAGAAATATAAGATAACAGAAATTTTGGATATAGAAAAATTTCAAACAACATTATAAGGGCTGGAATATTTAAAAATTTTATCATTGTTTTTGTTCATCAGGAGTTGAGGATTTAACACCAGGAACAACCGGTGTGAAGAGAAATTCTCAATTTATCGAGATTACACATTATCCAATGGCCACCAGTTTCAAGGAATTCACTGGAAAAATTCAAGGCAGTTCCCCATGTCCAATCATCCTGGAACGTGAGCCCTGTTTCAAAACACCATACCAACTATTTCTAAAAACCAACAAAATTTTGGAAATTATTAGAATAATTTATTAAAGATTTGCTCAAAAATTTATATCACTTGTTGAGTAGTTTTATAACATCTTAGTTTATTTAGAGATAAACTAGGGGTGGTAGAATATATTTTTAAATATCTGATCCATGCATCGACATATATATTACTCTACTGGTTGTGACATATTTAATAATATCTCTGCACACTTCATAGAGGTTTCATAAGGATTAAATGAGATTATCAGTGTAAAGCTCTTAGACAACAGAAAGCCTAACCTTACCGTTTGTTTGACTATATCTCTTGTTATCAAGCTTATCGATATGGTGAATTATTGTGGACCATAACAATGTGGATTTGCCATGATTTGGGCCCTAAGGAATGTGCCAGGTCCATGGATGAACTTTTTCTTTTTCCACTTGAGACTTCATAGCTGATTTGTTGTGTAATCTTTGACAGACTATGATCCTTTTCCGGGGCCTTGCTAAGGTACTCCTAGCAACGTTTACTAACAGCTCTAAGTAGCACTTCTTCTGGTTTCCTTTGCTGTCTCTGTATCCAAGCTGTGGTCTGCAGGCTTCCTGCGCCAGCTGAAAGTTCCACACACAGAAATGCCCCAGACACGTCAGCTATTCTAAAGACCCCCCATCTTCTGGGCATGACAGTTCTCGGGAACCCAGCTCCACCCTCTGCTCAGGCCAGGATGGATGAGATACTCCTGGGAAATGTCAAAAACGAAACCTCTGATTCCCTTTAGCAGAAATTTCTGGCGTTAAGGGTCATCCCACCAGAGATTAAACTTGTGGGGTTCTTTAGTGAAAGAAATTGCCACCAATATCACCGTATGAAGTCACCGTCAAGCACTGAGTGCCATCTTTGTTAGAAGAGTGGGTGCCTGAGAAGTAACTTTTACTGTCAGAAGGAAATAAAGGCCTTTTATGAACTGAAGGCTAAATAAGATGATTTGCTTCCAGACAGTGGCAGCCAGACAGGGAGGAAGTGGGGGTGACGGCAGCAGGTCCTGGTCTGCTCAGACCCCCAGTAGTGGCCAGGTGTGAGGTTGGGAATGACTGACCACCACGGGCTGGACCTGGGGAGCCCGAGAAAGGAGCACTAGGAGTGAGTTAATACTGGAGGTTGGATGATCTGAAAGAACCTGCACCTCTGTGTCCCCCACAGAGAGGGCACCTGTCCACAGGAATGCAACAGACCTACAGGGCCAACCCTCAGTGGCAACAAGAATCAGTAACCCGGGATTCCCTGGTGGTCTAGTGGTTAGGACTCCTCACTTTCACTGCGGAGGGCCGGGTTTAATCCCTGGTCAGGGGAACAAAGATCCCACAAGCCGTGCAGAGAGGTCAAAAAATTTAAAAATAATAATTAAAAAAAAAGAAAAGAACCAGTAACCCAAGTGGCCCAGCCTGATCACAGCTCCCACCACTCGGGAACCCCTCACCCCTTCCCACTCCCCACTTCAGGCTGGCGACAGCAAAAACATGCATCCACTTCGCAGAGTCAGGAGAATTCTGCACTGCAGAGAAGTGAATCACTAGTTACTTCAGGGTTGTGATTTAGAGACCCTGAGACTGCTTGGGCCCTTGTGAAAATTCAGAGTCCCAGGTTTCATCCCCAGTAAGCCTGGAGTGGGGCCTAGAAGCCAGCATTTAACACAATCAGGCATTTCTGCTGCCATGTTTCCCTGTGTCTCTCTACACAGTCAGTATTCCTTCCCAAGACTAAACCAAACTTCCACTAAATTCCTTTGGACACAGGCCATATCTAGAAAGAGACGATTGGGTGGGTTTGCATAAAGACAATACTTTTTCTTTTTCCCACTGTCCAGCTTCCCTGCCAGCCTGAATTAGAGGCAACCTGTCACATCTCTCTCTGCCTACAAGAGCTCACAGAGGAGCACAGGGTCACATCAACCAGTCATCTTATGTCAGCCTTGTCCATGCAACTCCCATTTCTTTAACTTGGTCAAAAAGGAGAAAGTTCTTGGGCTTCCCTGGTGGCGCAGTGGTTGAGAGTCCCCCTGTCGATGCAGGGGACGCGGGTTCGTGCCCCGGTCTGGGAAGATCCCACATGCTGCAGAGCGGCTGGGCCCGTGAGCCATGGCCACTGAGCCTGCGCGTCCGGAGCCTGTGCTCCGCAACGGGAGAGGCCACAACAGTGAGAGGCTCGCGTACCAAAAAAAAAAAAAAGGAGGAAGTTCTCTATGTGACTCACCAACCCCGGAGCCCACAAAGCCTCCTTTGCCCTCCTCCCCGATTTCATTTAGGAGAACGTGGGGGCCATTTGAACAGACTGTTCTTTGGGGGCATTTTTCCTGCTGTCAAGTATAAGGCTCACTTACCATTTTGAAGCTTGAATCTCCAAACCAAAACAACATGTGGAAAAAGAGTTTTCTTATGTTCCTTTTCTCTCTTTCAGTTCAGAAGGCTGCACTGGATTGTGAAAGAATGAGAAAAACAAATGGTAAGTTTCATTTACTTCTCTCTTGTACTAAAGCTGTTTTCACCGAAACGGTGAGACTGTCAGCTTTAAATCATGCGCGTTCATGAACAGGTTTTTCGGTGCTTTCTGATGAACAACCAAAGGGAGAGTCGTTTCTATGACCTACTGTTTAAAATGAAGTGATTTTAGCAAGGGAGTTGGAGAATCTTTCCTGAGACTCAGAGACAAAATACTGAGATTTTTTTTTTTTTACAATGTAATGGTTCCTTCTTTCTCTGTTGTTGTTTTTTTAATTAGAAAAATCAACACATAATTGTTGTAAAACAAGTCAAGCAACACTAAAAATATATCCTGGGAGGCAGTTTATCACCATAGAGCTAGGCTGTTGTGGTCCTAACCCTGGTTCTACCGTTTTCCAGCTGGCAGCCCGCGCGCACGAGGAAACCACTTAAAGCTTAATTTCTATCTTCTGTGAAGTGGGGAAAATAAAAGCACTTTCCTGGGAGGGTTGTTGTGGGGACTGAGACAAGCCATGCGCCTCAGCACAGAGCCGAGTGTATGATGAACCATCAACAAATGCTAGCTCAGGTCGTTGTTGTTACTATACTATAAAATGTGAAAGTTCTGTTATATCCCCTCAATCCCTCTCCCCTCTCCACTTCCAGAAGCAATCACTATTAACAGTCCTTTTTGTTTCAATATCATAGTAAACAAACTCTTCTGTGACCTGTCCTTTTTAAAATTAACAATATATCCCAGACATCTTTCTAAGAGGAACATTTAGATTTAGTTCCTTTCTTTTCAACAGCTACATGGCAATTCATAATAGGACTCAGCCATAATTCATTTTTTAAAAATAATTTTTAATATCTTTTAAAGTAATTAATTAGGTTGTGCCAGGTCTTGGTTGCAGCTTGCGGGCTCCTCAGTTGTGGCACGCGAACTGTTAGTTGCGGCATGCATGTGATCTAGTTCCCTGAGCAGGGATCAAACCCAGATGCCCTGCACTGGGAGTGCGGAGCCTTAGCCACTGCGCCATCAGGGAAGTCCCACGGCCTAATTCATTGAACCATCACCCCCTTACTGGTTGTTCCATTTTTTTTCTTTGTAATAGAAACAATACTGCAGTAAACATCGCTGTACACAACATGCTTTGTGGACACATGAGTGTGTGAGAGCTCATGTAGGATAAAATCCTAGAAGTGAAATGGCTGGGTCCAAGGGCATGTCCATTTGAATTGTTACAGATACTGCTAAGTTGCCCTCCCCACACGCTGAACTGGTGCATGGTCACCAACACTGACCACGCACATGGGTAAGTGTGAGTTTCCCACCCTCTCAAACAGTGGATACAGTCAGTTTTTTAATGTGTCACTCTGATGAGTACAAAATAATATCTCCATGTTGTTTTTTTAAAAATTAATTAATTTATTTTTGGCTGTGTTGCGTCTTCGTTGCTGTGCGTGAGCTTTCTCTAGTTGCGGTGAGCGGGGGCTACTCTTCCTTGAGGTGTGTGGGCTTCTCATTGTCATGGCTTCTCTTGTGGAGCATGGGCTCTAGGGGTGTGGGCTTCAGTAGTTGTGGCACATGGGCTCAGTAGTTGCGGCTTGCAGGCTCTAGAGTGCAGGATCAGTAGTTGTGGTGCACGGGCTTAGTTGCTCCACAGCATGTGGGATATTCCTGGGCCAGGGCTCGAACCCGTGTCCTTTGCACTGGCAGGCAGATTCTTAACCACTGCGCCACTACCAGGGAAGCCCTCCATGTTGTTTTAATTCGTGGTTGCCTCATCACTCATAAAGTTGAGCTTCTTTTTCATGTCTGTTGACTGTGAAAGCTCTAGTACACCCATATAAAGGACATTTAGGGATGGCTATCTGGTTGGAAAGAGAGGCAAGGTCTCATCTTGAAGCTGAGCTTACATAAGGCTGAGAAAATATTAATTGTCCAGATCAAAGAGAAGGAGGGAGGTTTTGGCATTTTTGAGGGGTCTAAACCCCTCCTCCACCCAAGCCATCCCTCAGCCCCAGCACTATTTCTTCTTTTGGGAATTACATATTCAGATTATTTGCCCATTTATTTGATTATCTTTTTCTTATTAATTTGCTGTTGGTTTATGTATATAAAAAGAATACTATGCTTTCGTTTATGTTTTAAGTATTTTCTTCTAGCCTTTTACACCTCTTAATTTTGCCATAGAGGAGTTTAAAGTTTTAGGATTGTTATTTTTTCTCTTTTCTTTATGGCTATTTCGTGTGTCTTACTTGGAAGACTTTTTCCAAGCAGGTGATATAAAAAACATTTCCCTATTTTCCTCTTTTTTTTTCACTCACAAGTGAGTAAAGGTCACTTCTTAGCAGGTCCAGGGGTCTCAGGATGTCTTGGGGACATCGAGAAGAGAGGAATTCACCCAAATTCATGGGTACTGAAGGTACAGTCTTGTGACAAGTTGCTGACTTGGCTTCTTAGCCTCAAGAGGCTATTAAAAGTCTAATCTGGAATTCCTTATAAAAGTTCCAGCAAAGCAGACTTAAAAGACCTACATGTTCAATCTACTCTTGCTGCACTGATATCAATAATCAGGCCAAGTTTAATGAGACCAGACTGATTTTGCAAACTAATTAATCTTCAATTATCTCTATTAAGAATGGGGGTGGGGGGCTTCCCTGGTGGCGCAGTGGTTGAGAGTCTGCCTGCCGATGCAGGGGACACGGGTTTGTGCCCCGGTCCAGGAAGATCCCACATGCCACGGAGCGACTGGGCCCGTGAGCCATGGCCGCTGAGCCTGCGAGTCTGGAGCCTGTGCTCCGCAACGAGAGAGGCCACAACAGTGAGAGGCCCACGTACGGAAAAAAAAAAAAAAAAAAAAAAAAAAAAATGGGGGTGATTGTAGGGAGAGAGCTCTGCTTCAGTAAAAGTACAGCACACACTGTGGGGTGTCGAACGGCCACATCTCGTTGTCAGCAGTTAACATTTCCAATTTCTCTCCTACCCTTCTGACTTGGAATCACGAAAAATGAAAACTTCCCTACAAGCTGAAGCTTGACAACTTAGTATAAACTTCAGAGAAATCACACAGATTACATGTGGACAACCTTGGTAATGCCGGGGTGGGGGCTGCTCAGAGTTCACCCAACGCCACGGCCGCATTCCAACTGCGACCCAGGAAAAGCAGCAGAACTGCCACCACCTGCCCTTGCCCCTCCCCCATACAGGGAGGCACGGAGACCACCCTCCTGGAAGTCCCCCCAGCTGACCACCCTCTGGACTCAGACCAGGCTGGACAGTTGGCTTTTCCTTTGTTTCTACAGAAGTACCTCCCATTAAACGCTGATGGCTTTGCCCTTACAAAGGCCTCACTTTGGCGGGACCCCACCCCCAACATCGCCTCCTAAAATGAGACACAGCTGCTTAACAAAACTGACCTATTCTCAGGGCTGAGAAATTGGTTCAATGAGGCACGGAGCAGTTCACAGCTGTGAAGGCAGAAGGCAGTTTGCAGATGCTCCCTATAGCCAAAAAAAAAAAGAGACAATAAGAATAAAATAATCGTAATGGGCTGTGGGTTGAGACACATCAAATACATTTAAATCTATGAGTTCATAATGATTCTTAAACAAAAAATAATAACAATAAAGGGAAATATCTCACTGTTACAAGATGCTAGGAAACCAACTCATTATTTTCAAAATTGGTCAGTAACAGAAGAGAACCAAGTATTTATCCTCCCTTTTCTTTTTTCTTCTTTTTGGCCGTGGGATGTGGGATCTTAGTTCCCTGACCAGGGATCGAACCCGCAACCCCTGCATTGGAAGCACAGAGTCTTAACCACTGGACCACGAGGGTCCCCTATCCTCCCTTTTCTATGCAAACTGTACCTCAGTGTAACCAAAGAGTTGACAAGGGTGTTTCTCTTCAGATAATTACGGATGACAAATGAAGAAGGAAAAATAGAATTGGTATATCACCATTTTGCAACCTCTAACGAAATAATGCTTTCTGGGTAATTATCATCAAAGTCTGCTAACAAACAAAAAGAGAGATAGCCAGACATTCTGTGTCTCCTAATAGAAGTACACCCTACCCCCTATGCTGCATTCTTGCTAAATAAAAGCTAATCTGAATTTCATCAAGCCTCTGACAGGAGAGAGAAGAATATGGAAAGGACAGCATGGAATGTAATTAATGAAATCCAGACCATGGAAAACACTTCAGAGCAAACAACTTGCTATCTTCAACAAATAAAGGGCATCCCTGGTGGTGCAGTGGTTAAGAATCTGCCTGCCAATGCAGGGGACACGGGTTTGAGCCCTGGTCCGGGAAGATCCCACATGCCACGGAGCAGCTAGGCCCGTGCACCACAACTACTGAGCCTGTGCTCTAGAGCCCACAAGCCACTACTGAGCCCACGCACAACTACTAAAGCCCGTGCGCCTAGAGCCCATGCTCCACAACGAGAAGCCACCACAATGAGAAGCCCGTGTACCACAACGAAGAGTAGCCCTGCTCGCGGCAACTAGAGAAAGCCTGCACGCAGTAACAAAGACCCAATGCAGCCAAAAATAAAATAAATAAATTTATTTAAAAAAAACAAAAACAAAGTGCAGGGGGAAAGAAAAGAGACAGAAAGGTCTACAGATGAAAAAAGTCATAAGAAACATAGCAACTAACTACAACAGACCATTATGGATTCTAAAAGAAAAATCAGACAATTGGGGGAATTAGAACACTAGATATCTGATGATATTTTTTAAATATTGTTAATTTTTAGGTGTGATAATGGTATTGTTATTTTTACCAGAGTCCTTATCTTTTGGAGGTACAAACTATTAACGTCCTCCAGCCAAAGATCACCAGGGACACATGTGTAGTTGAACCAAGTTGAGTTTTAAGAGAAAATGCATACCATGGAGTAAGCAAGAGGGCATCTTACAGTAAGATTTGCGTTAGGTAACTTGGAGGAAGATTCAAGGCAGCAGGCTTTACTCTGAATTGGATTCTTTTAGGAAGTGGAAATAATGATATGGTTGGGAATCTTAATAATTCTCATCTAAAAGATAAGAAGAGCAGTGCAAGGCAAAAGCTCTGACTGATAAAGAAGCAGCAGTCAATCATATTGTTTAGAGGGATACTTGGCCATTTTTGTGTTTTGGACCATGTTCGTGTCTTCATCTGTGTTCAGACATGATTATGGAGTCATCTTGTCTTTGTCTTGCTCTAATACGGTCACAGAGTGGCCTTGTCTGGTACTGGTGACCAGTCAGTTCCTAACCAGCACAAAACAGCTTGGTAAGGCTACCCGTCTCTCACTGGGAGAGGCCTCTGTAGGCACTGAGGTTTCCTCACACACTGTCCAGCCTGGCTGTGCAGGGAAGAAATGTCCCCTACCTTTGGGAAGTTCACCAGACACAGAGGGTCTCCACCACCTTGACCCACGAAATGTGGGTAGACAACCACTGAGTTATTATTGATGGATGGTAACAAGGACTTTCTCTTGTGTTATTTTGCTTTCCAGAATTCCCTTCTCCAAATTTGAACTCACAAACGGATGCAGTCATGAGGGGTCAGAATGTATCTCTATCTTGTTTCAACCAGAACAAATCACTGCGGATCACCTATTTTTTGTTTCGGGGTGAGAAATGCCTGAGCATCCAGAATGGACCCATGACTTTTAACCTAACAATCTCAGAAGCCCGTGACTTGGGCCCCTACAAATGCAAAGCCCAAGTTTCTAACTGTTCAAAATACAGTCGTGAGTTCAACTTCACATCTGTCGGTAAGTAGAGTGCTTGTTACTCGGCGGCCCTGTGATTTGGAGGGATTCTTTCCTGTTCTAGGATGGGCTCTCTGTTCTGCTTGTTAACACTCCCTCAAGAGCCTGGCAAGTATGTCACTGAGATCTTTTTTCTTAATAATTCCATTTCACTTTCTCTCCAAATACTTTTGGCTGTTTCAGATAATAATATGCTGATGGCCCAAGGCAAAAAGTATTACATCAACAATTTGAAAAGTTGTTGAGATCTTTTCTAGATGCTTTACTCTAGGATTCTCATTGTGTAGGTAAAAAAAGACTTTTTCTCTTAAGATTCAAATAAGAAGTCTTAGAATCAACGTTGGACCCTGTGGCAAGGGTCTCCAGAGTCCCAGGCTTTTCCCACCTTCTTCCCTTTGCAATGGCCATCAGCCTGCACTCTTCCTGCCCAACCACATTCTTTTGGCCACGACACGCAGGGTATACTGCAGGATCTCAGTTCCCCGACCAGGGACTGAACCTGGGCCACGGCAGTGAAAGCCCAGGATCCTAACCACTAGGCCACCAGGGAACTCCCATCTTCCCACCCCAAGCCTTTCACAACCTAGCATTAATGGCCTCATCCATGAAGGTGACCTTGATAGTGGACTCCTGGGAGAAGGAGAGAGTGTTTCCAGGTAATATATGTACCTGGAGTCTTCCAAACAGAGAAGCCCTGACTTACTGATTGAATCTTTGAGTGATTCTCTGGGTCTGTGCTCTCCAGTATGGTAGCCACTAGCCACATGTTTTATTTGTTTAATTTCAAGTTAATTAAAATTACTTGAAATTAAAAAATTCATTTCCTCAGTCTCATTAGTCACATTTCAAGTGCTCAAGAGCCACAGATGTGGGGTGGCTGCTGTATTAGACAACACAGACACAGAACATTTCCATCACCACAGAAAGTTCCACTGGACGCCTCTGCTCTAGATCAACGGTTCTCAGCTTTTTAGGTTATAACCATTTTAACAATCTAATGATAGCAGTGGATACTTTCCCTGAGACATGTGACAGATGCAAATTTCTGCGTAAGACTTGAAGGGATACCGTGGGCTCTGGATTAGAGCCAACCATCTTAGGACAAATTTGAACACAAACTCAATGGAAGCCATAATTGTAAATGAAATGTAAAAAGAAGAAGACCATGCAAACATGGTCTGGGATGTAGTGGATGATGTGAGGGCAGTACCCTGGCTGATAATATTCTCTGGTGGTCAGATTCCTGCTGGACTGGGCAGCGTGGTTTTGCAGAAAGAGCAACAGAATGGGCATCAGGGGACCTGTGTACCACTAGCTTCCTGTGCAAGGCTGAAGCCTTAAATCAATTGATTTAAAAAGCCCCAAGTCTTCATTTCCTGAGCTTCCATCCCACAGATATGTATACAATCTTCCCACATCCTGCCTTCAGAGCAAATGCACAAGTTTCTTGCAATGCGTTACAGTAATTATACCATCCTGTAGAACTTTTAAAATAGATTATAAAAACCTGCATCATCTTCATTTACGTCAGATTAATAAATACCTACTGAATGCCGACCCCATGCAAGTAATTGTGTTGGATGCTGCCAGGGTTTCAATGATGCCTAGGACATGATCTTATCCCCAACCCAGTAAGGGATGTGAGCCGTGAACACAAATTCATGAATCACTGATTCACTCATCAAATATTTAATGATATCCCCGATGTGCCGAGCCCTGGATATATATTAGTTCCTGCCTTGGTGGAGCTTACAGTCTATTTGGGGAAGCATAAAACCCAAGTACCCAAATAAATTCATAATCACAAACTGTGTGGATTGTTATAAAGAAAAAGAAACTGGCACAGTGATGGAGAAAGGTTGGGGATGGGGGAGTGACCTCCTTAGATAGGGTAGTTAGGGAAGGCCTTGCTACAGGGGTGGCATTTAAGAAGAGCCCTGAAGGATGAGAAGGGGTTAGCTATGTGAAGAGACAGGGAAAAAAGGCTCTAGTCAAGGGACAATAACCTGTGCTGGTGGCTCCAACTTAGGAAAGAACTTGGCTGTTGGGAAGGACCTAATAGGACACTGGTATGGCTGGAGGTCTGATGAGGGGAGTGTGACCCCAGGTGAGACTGGAAAGGGAGGGGGAGCCAAGTCAGGCCTCTTTATCAGGCCCAATTTATCACCTTCAATGTTAATTCATCCTGGGTGGGGCAGGGCAAGGGTAGAGGTTGGGGATCGGTTGGGAGGCTTCTGCCGTCATCCAGGAGACAAACAATGATGGAGATGGAGAGAAGTGGATGGATTCAAAATATATTTTGGAGAAGGAAACAACAGGACTTGCTGATTGATTAGATTTGGAATCACAGGTAGTAAAGGTGAGGAAGGAATCAAGAATGACTTCCAGATGTCAAGTGGGATCAGCTGATGAGGAGTGGTGTCGTTTACTGAGATGGGCAAAAATGGAAGTTGTTGTTCAATGGGTATAAAGTTTTGGTTATGCAAGACGAGTACGTTCTAGAGATCCTGCTGTACAACACTGTGACTATAGTTAACAGTGCCGTACTGTGCGCTTAAACATTTGTTAAGAAGGTAGATCTCACGTTAACTGTTCTTAGCACAATGAAAATAAATGAATGATTGAATGAATAAAAACATTTTAAAAAAGAACAGGATTTTAACATATGTTTATCTACCTACCAATTGACTCACTAACTAGCAGATTAACTAGAGTTCAGTTTCAAACAGGTTATGTTTGAGGTGACCAGGAGACATCCAAGTGGATCATGTAATAAGAAGTAGAAAAGTATTAAGAGGATGGGACCAAGTGCTACAGGAAGCGGAGGAAGAGGGAGAAGTTCCGCCTGGAGGACTAAGGAAAAGTTTTCTGGGGAAGGTGGCAACTGAATGAGCCTTAAAGGACCCCTTGATTGATTGACTGATTGATTGATTTTCAGCTGCACTGGGTCTTTGCTGCAGCGTGCAGGCTTCTCATTGCTGTGGCTTCTCTTGTTGCAGAGCACGGGCTCTAGGAATGTGGGCTTCAGTAGTTGCAGCACGCTGGCCCTAGAGTGCACAGGCTTCAGTAATTGTGGCGTGCGGGCTTCAGCAGTTGTGGCACGCGGGCTCAGTAGTTGTGGCTTGCGGGCTCTAGAGCGCAGGCTCAGTAGTTGTGGTGCATGGGCTTAGTTGCTCCACGTAATGTGGGATCTTCCTGGACCAGGGCTTGAACCCTTGTCCCCTGCATTGGCAGGCAGATTCTTAACCAATGCGCCACCAGGGAAGTCCCATTAAAATACTCCTTTAATTTAAAAAATATAACTAATTTATTGAAGAGTCACCACTCCTTTCCCTTGATCACTGTGATGCTGTGATACACTTTACCAGTCCTTTTACAAACCCTCAGGGAAGGTACTTCTAGTTTGAATCATCTTATCTCAGAGAGAAATCCATGCTCTCTGCTTCTTCATGAATGTTTCATTTCCTCCTTCCTGAAAATTACAGGAGGTAGATTTCAGTTCCATAGGAAAAACATCCTATTTATGCTATTCCCAAACAAAGTTGCTCTTTGAGGCCACCATCACTGGGTGCCATTCTGTCAAGGATACTGCCACAGGGATTCCTGCTCAGGGGAGGGATGGAGCAACAAGACTCTAAATTACTTTCTTTGATTTGACTTAAACAATGAAACATATTTCATTGTTTCTGCACCAAATTGTTAAATTGGCACAATGTTATTAAAAACAAACGCATATGCTTGGGATTTGGCCCTGGCTCTGCCATTTACTAGCTCTGTGGCCTCTGAATCACAGTTGGCTCAACTGTGCAATGGGCATGATGCTGTCCACCTTGTAGTACTGTTGTGAAGTGAAACAAGATAATGTGGGTAGTGACCCCGACACATGATGGATACTTAACAATTATCTTTCCTTTCCCTATAATACTGTTTTATTAATGAGTTATATAATAAATTATATAGCTGGATTCTCCCACTATCCAGCTATATAATTTATTATATAGGGTATGATCTTACAGAGCTTACCAGACCCACTCATTTCTGGTCAAGAATTTCCCTTGACTCTATCAGGATTACTTCCTTCTTTAAGGAGGAAGTGAAAGACAATTGTACAGCCGAATTCTATAAATGACAATACAGTTAGAAAAGATGCTATTTTTAGATTTCTTTGATTTAAAAAAAACCCACTGCAATCTTACAATGATTGGGAATAAAAGCACCTCTCAACTACATACTTGGAGCTGGATCCTTGACAAAATTATACTATCAGCCACAAACAAATTGTGAATTCTGATGAAAGGCAAGTTTGCACTCTGATTCCTCAAAGCAGAGACGTCCTCCACCCTCTGGCTTTCTCGGAACCTGGTGCATGCCACGAGGCATGGGGTTAACCACATACCCACTGATCCTTCCTGATGGAGCTTCTTGTGAGCAACTTGACTTCTCAAGAGGGGTGTCATCCATCTTTGGGTTAACAGCTGGGAATAGAGTAGGGCTCCCATCCATGTTTGTGAACTGAGTGAGTGAACCCAATCTGCTTATCTGTTTAACATGCACTTTATTTTTCTAGATCCAGTGACTGCACCAGTGCTGAACATCAGTGTTGTTCAAACAAAAACAGGCAGATACATAATGCTACGCTGCATCTCATTCAACGGCTCTCTGCCCATCAATTATACTTTCTTTGAAAAAAACATGGCCATATCACCAGTTATCTCCAAGAATGTAAGGGAGCCTGCTGAATTTAACTTAACCAAGAATAACACTGGAGAAGGGAAAGAGTATAGGTGTGAAGCTAAAAACAGATTGCCTGACCATGCAAAATACAGTCAACTCATCACCATACCCTCAACAGGTAAAGGCGACCTGAACTCTTTCAACAGGATCTGGATTTACTTCCAGAAACCAGCTACTCCTCTGCCCTCCCATTTCCCACTTTGCCCACCTGCTTCCAAATGCTTTTCCTTCTGTAGGGTCCACACGTTCTGATGGGGTTGCTTTCTGCCATAAAGGAACCAAAGAAAAGCCTGGAAAGTGGTGCAGGGAGGGAACTTGTATCAATAGTAAGACTTCCTGACTTGACCCTGCTTCCTGTTTTGACTTTTCACTGCTCAGGTTCTAAGCAGTCACATTAGAATTTGCATCTTTCTTGAAGCTGCTGGGTCTCTTGATTTTTTTTTGCTTTTTAAAAATCATTTTTTAAATTCACTTCCAACACCTGTACTCACCTGCTTGGCTGTTTAATGCTTGGTGAGTCTAGACTTCCAGTGCCACCCTTTCCTTGAGGCAAGAATGGCTCCTGTCCCAACCTTGTGTTTTGGAAGGCACTGCTCTGGTGCTTCTTAGCCATGTGTCTTCCCATAAGCTTCCTATAAGCCATGGGGATTTGTCTGCCTGGACCCTATACCCCCACATTTCTATACCTTACTCTAGGTTCCTAGACCTGAATTCCCTACCCAATCAGATCAGAACCCACCTTCCAGGGCCTGCACAAGTCTCCTTCCCAGCTCATCCTCCCAAGGGTGGACCATGGTAAGGATGTGAACATTCCAGGGCCCACACCAAGGGAGTTGTTTGTGGGGAGTGGGGGGATGGCATTTGGCCATGCAGGCTGGGGGTGTCCACAAGCATGTCAGGCTCCTTAGGGTGCATGTCAGAGCCTGGGTGGAAAGGGGGCCAGGCTAGGGCTGGGGCTGGCTCTCCCCATACTGTCATGTTCCAGTGCAGAACTCTGAGGAGTCTGAGAATTTTAGATTTAAATCTGGCCTTATGAAGGGACATTGGTCGAGGTAGGAGGATAGAACAAAAATTAGGTTAGCAAAGGTAGCAGGCACAATTGGGCATTGAACACCTCATGTGGCCTCATCCTCAGAAGATCAGAGCCCACACCTGGGTGTTCAGTAAGTTCTAACAAGTGAGGCAACCTGTTGGAGTCAGGCTCCAGAGTCAGGCTTTTGCCTACAAATCACAGCCTTCAATTCACTAGCTGTGTGACTTTAGGAAAGTCACTTAACCTCTCTGAGTCTTACTCTACTTAATTGTAAAATGGGAGTAATACCAATGAGAAAAATAAAGTAATGCATGTAAAGTGCTTAACACAATGACTGCATATAATTAACACTCAATAAGTGGCAGGTATTTGGGTGACATAAATCATGCCGACATGACTAAAACCTTTGCCCAATAAATGGCCAGGCTGTTCTCAGGCTTATAACCCTAACAACGTAGCCAACATCTGTCTGTTAAATGCTGTGCTGCTTTTTCTTCCTTGTGTATGACCCCTTGTGGAAGATGGACTTGGTATGAACCTTAAGAACCTCACTAACAAGTTACCTCTCAAGTTGCAGGGCAGGGATTCAGGGTTCAGGGTACATTGGTTAACCTGGGAGACAGTCGTGATCACCCTTTCCAGAACATTTCACAATTCAATATCATTGGAAAAGAAGGCTGTGCAGTGACCAGTGAATGCTGTCTTCTTCCAGGAGAGAGCTGTCCTTTCTGCCTGCAGCTACTGCTTCTGGGGTTTCTGCTTCTGGTACTCATAGCAATAATCCTAATTCTGGCATTTTGGATGCTACCAAAGTACAAAGCAAGTAAGTTCCTTAGGAGCTTTGCCATTGTTTTCCCTGGGTTTTGGATACAGACAGCAGGGTGAGGGCAAGGAGGAAGGGAAAGGGGAATCAGAAATGGGATGTGAAGAAAATGAGAAGAGAAGGAAAAGATGCAAAAGGAGAAGGTAATGAACGACTTCCTGAACGGTTCACACATAGCACAGTTCTCTTTTCTCTGGTAAAGACTTCCCTATTTAGACTGCTTGTGGGTGTGTGACCTGTGCAGTCACACAGGGCCCCGTGCTAAGGAGACAGTTTAATGCTCTGCTGTCACTGTCTTGAAATTCGTAATACAATAAAAAAAATTTTTCATATTATTTTTTAATTGTGGTAAAATATGCATAACAATAAAATTTACCCTGTTGGCCATTGTTAAGTATATATTCAGTGGCATTAAGTACATTCACATTCCTGTGCAACCAACACCAGCCATCCACTTTTTCATCTTGCAAAAACTGAAGCTCTGTACCCATTAAACAGTAACTCCCCATTTATTTCTCTCTCCTCCCAGCCCCTGGCAAACACCATTCTACTTTCTGTCTATGAATTTGACTACTTTAGAAACCTCATATAGGTGGAATCATACAGTATTTGTCCTTTTGTAACTGGCTTATTTCATTTAACACAATGTCCTCAAGGTTCATCGCTGTTGTATACATGTCAGAATTTCCTTCATTTCAGGACTTCCCTGGAGGTTCAGGGGTTAAAACTCCACGCTTCCACTTCAGGGAGCACGGGTTTGATCTGTGGTTAGGGAACTAAGATCCCACAAGCCATGCGGTGGGGCCCAAAAAATTTTTTTCCTTCATTTTAAAAGCTGAATAATATTCCATTATATATATATACATATATATATATATACACACACACACATATATATACACACGCACATATGTGTACATACACACACACACACACTAACACTTTGTTTACCCGTTCACCCATCAATGAACTCTTGGATTTCTTCCACCTTTTGGCTATTGTGAGTAGTGCTGCTTTGAACGTGGGTGTACAAATCTCAATAATTTTTAAACAAGAGGCCCTGCATTTTCATTTTGCACAAAGCCTGCAAATGACGTAGTGGGTTCAGACTGCCAGAGCTTTGCTTTGTAGTTTTCAGTGTCCTCACTGGGTCTGCCACTCGGAGGAAGCTCAGTACATGAAGACAAAAAGAGCCTCATTCTCTCTGCCCCACCTTAAGTGCTGCATTAAACCTCATTTACTGCGTTTCATAATTCACGCCTTATGACCTCTAGTTAAGATTTCAAAGTGGCCTTTTCATTTGGCACACTACTACGGAGGAATATTGAGATTTACACAAAAGACAGTTTGTGTCTCAGGACCGACACCTGCCAGTGAGCTTCGGGGCATTGAGTGGGCTCCTTCACCTGCCTGAGCCTCAGCGTTCTGACCTGTAAAATGGGGCCATGGGAGATACTGTCAGACCTGGGGAGAGAACTAAGTGATACATGTTAGGCTCTTGGCCTTCTTCCATCTCTAAAGTCCTAATTCACAGAAATCCAGGACCCAGTTGACAGGAAACTTGAAAACAGATGTCAAAATGTATACATCTCATACATTAAAAAAAATTTTTTTTTGTAATGTAAAGCATTTTAAAATTGAAGTATAATTAACCTACAACACTATGTTAGTTTCAGGTGCACAACAGAGTGCTTCGAATTTCTATACATTACAAAATGACCACCATGATAAGTCTTGTTACAAAGCTATTACAATATTATTGACTATATTTCCCATGCTGTACATTTCATCCCTGTGACTCATTTATTTTGTATATATTTATTTAGTTATTTATTTTGGTTGCACTGGGTCTTACTTGCAGCAGGCGGACTCCTTAGTTCTGGTACCTGGGCTCCTTAGTTGTGGCACGTGGGCTCATTAGTTATGGCATGCAAACTTGTAGTTGTGGCATGCATGTGGGATCTAGTTCCCTGACCAGGGATCAAACCCGGGCCCCCTGAATTGGGAGCACAGAGTCTTAACCACTGCACCACCAGGGAAGTCCCTGACATTTATTTTGTAACTTGAAGTTTATACTTCTTAATCTCTCTCACTTATTTCATTCACCCCCCACCTCTGTGGCAACCACCTGTTTGTTCTCTGTATCTATGTGTCTGTTTTTTGTTATGTTTGTTCATTTGTTTTGTTTTCCAGATTCCACATATAAGTGAAATCATACAGTATTTGTCTTTCTCTGTCTGACTCATTTCACTTAGCATAATACCCTCTAGGTGCATCTATGTCGTCACAAGTGGCAAGATTTCATTCTTCATTTTGGCTGAGTAATATTCCATTGTGTGTGTACCACATACCACATCTTCTTTCTCCATTCATCTATCAACAGACACTTAGATTGCTTCCATAGCTTGGCTGTTTGTTGTAAATAATGCTGTAATGAACACAGGGGTGCATATATCTTTTAAAATTAGTGTTTTGTTTTCTTCAGAAAAATATCCAGAAGTGGAATTGCTGGATCATATTTTTAATTTTTTGAGAAACCTCCATACTGTTTTCCATATTGGCTGCAGCAATTTACATTCCCACCAACAGTGCATGAGGGTTTCCTTTACTCCGCATCCTTGCCAACACTTGTTAGTTATATTTTTGATGGTAGCCATTCTGACCGGTGTGAGGTGATATCTCATTGTGGTTTTCATTTGCATTTCCCTGATGATTTAGTGATGTTGAGCATCTTTTCATGTGCCTGTTGGCCATCTGTATGTCCTCTTTGGAAAATGTCTATACAGTTCCTCTGCCTGTTTTACTTTTTATTTTTTTTAATGGGGTAATTTTAAAAAAATATTTATTTACTTGTTTGTTTTTGGCCACACCAGGTCTTAGTTGCGGCATGTGGGATCTTTTAGTTGCAGCATGCAGGCTCTTAGTTGTGGCATGCGAACTCTTAGTTGCGCCATGCATGCAGGATCTAGTTCCCCGTCAGGGATCGAACCCAGGCCCCCTGCACTGGGAGCACATTCTTACCCACTGGACCACCAGGGAACTCCCTGCCTGTTTTTAAATTGGGTTTGGTTTTTTGATGTTGAGTTGCATGAATTCTTTGTACATTTTGGATATTAACCCCTTATCAGACATATCATTTGCAAATATCTTCTCCCATTCAGTAGGCTGCTTTTCTGTTTTGTTGATAATCTCCTTCACTGTGCAAGTCTGATGTAGTCCCATTTGTTTATTTTTGCTTTTGCTTCCCTTGCCTGAGGAGACA